CTTTAATTATTAGTTGTACTTGATTGAATATCGGTGGAAAAATTTTCATTTACAACGTACAAGTAAAATTATCCATTACCATTAAACACGAAATGTATATTAAAATTGAAATTATTTGTTGTTTTAGTTTTGGTCAATTTGTAAAACCCATTAACGCTCGTCGTTTTATTAAAAATGCAAAAAAAGCCAAAAGAAAAACCACATCAATACTCGCTTTTATCGTTGAAATGCAAAAACCTACCCGATACCAGATCGAAAAAAAAGTGAGTAATTTTGCCTCGAAATAGAAAACCTTCGCCATTTCCGACAAAAGCTTCACTAAGTGAATATGAATTCTTCATTTCCATCAGAATGTTCACTTAGGTCGTGACGTAACCGTCCGGGAGCAATTATAAAGTGTAAAGCGGCATTCACATCGTTCGCGCCGCTCTTAATTGCATGCAAATGTATTCGTTACTTTACCAACACGCGGCTGCGTTCAAAATCGAATTAAGAATTTATTGTGTTTAAAGTTTGTTAAACGTCCGCTGGAAGACGGGGCTCCCCATTTGCATGCTAATAACAGACGTCGCATTGGAGAAATGCATTTTCTCTGAAAAACCGTACTGTATTATTTTTTATTTTAATATTTTGGGTCAGTAGCCGGATGCCATCCGAATTTTATTGAGAAAATTGATGCAATATGCTAATTAACTTCGCTTCGGCGTATGTGATGTCAGAATTTAACGTTATTATCATAATGAATATTATTATCTTATATTATTTATTATTTACCAACATTAAACTCAATCTTGAAGAAAAAAAATTTAATCCTGTAACACATGCACGAATTAATTTATGGGCAATTGACGTCCACTTCGTTTACGATACCATACAACACAAATCCACCAAGCGTATATAGCACCGTAACAAAGCTAAGGCTAAGACCTGTTGTAGAGCTTTGCAACGAGATGATAACACATCGTGCGCACGCACATTAATTTTCATCAGCAGGATCGCGGGGACACGAGAAAAAAGGATACTCGCTAACAGAGAGTGTATAAATCGCGATGGGCCGTGTTAAGTTCCCTTCCCGAAATTTATAGGCTCAATATAAATGCGTGGAATGGAGGGTGTCAAAGCATGTGTTCGGCGCGGCCGCCGGCTCAGAGTGATGTTTCGACTCCATGGGTGGTTGCAGAAGGTACCAAGAACGCACCATGCTACAAATACCGCATACATCATCGCCGTTACTTCTCGGCATCGCACCAAGAACAAATCATCACGATTCCTCATTGTTATTCACTAATTACTTTATTACGGTACTTAACCATTCTTATTGATATTTTATGACATTTTTGACTTTCCTCATAAACAAGATTATATAAATTACTTTCCACTTCGTTGCAGAAATAAAACCCTACTTTTACAACAATAACACACAACGTGTTCGTTAGTGTGACGATGATGGTGAATTATGAAACAGAATTATTAATGAAGATCAACAACCTTTTTAAATCTCCTTAAAAGAAGGAGGATCTTTAAAAAATGATACTCAATAATTCCATACTAGTCTCGAAACCCCAAGTCCCGAAAAATACTCGGTACCCATAACAAAAAACGTTTAAAATTTTAAATCCAAACAAATCGCCGAACCTAAATCACCGATATAACAAGAATGGTAACGATGTTAAATCGATACGGCGCGATGATAAAGGCGATCTGAGGAAGGAAGAGGGACGAATAAGAAGAAGAAGGGCGAAGAGCACCGTTTTCTACTCGGACTCGAAATGATTCACGCCCGTAACGAGCCGTACACGACGGCACCCCGGTCCTTATTTCCAAAAGTCCTCGTGTTTTATTTCTGGGTTGGGTCCAACCGAGTGTGTAACACCTGGTCAAGGAGGTGTGAGATCCCGCGTTGCGGGTTCGATTTTTTTTTTGAACCCGCCACTACTACACATGCTTAAGATTCCAACAGGGACGACTCCCGTCGGTTTTATTTCTTCTCCTTCACACTGCGACCGCCGAAGACGTAGTTGTGTGGGTATAAAAACCACAGCAGGAATTATATTCTCGATATACTCGAATTTTCTCTATATCATAATTATATTTATATGGCCAAGTCATTCAAAACCCAAATATCAACTCTTCGGGGTGTATCTTTGGCAATTTCTTATCAAATTACACTGATTTATCTTACTTTTGCATGGAATCGTTAATAATTAAACAAATTTAGAAAACAATAAAGGAAAGTTCATATAAATAATTCGAGCTCGTGATGGGGAATAGATAATGTATGTTTATGTCTGAGATTGAGATTGTGTACATCCTTTCGAAACCTGCTCCTATCGTAAATCTTAACGATAAGAATTTTAGTAGCTCATGCAAGGTCCAAGATACGCGTTCGCTTTAAATATTAATGAATTCCTTAACAGATATTTGCAGTGTAGACTTAACCAACCCAAATTCACTCTCAAAAACTCAAAGATCACTTTTTATATTTTGTTGAACTGTATTAAGATCAATTAAAGAAAAGTGGCAAAAAAATTGTGTATTAGCATACTCGTTTATAAGAAGCATATTGCTAATGGAACTAATTTTGCGAAAGAACACATCAATTGGCAGTCTGCGAAATGGCATAACTAGAATAACGGAATCAAACATGTGCCAGAAGGCCGTATTTACAAGAATAACCAATAAAAAGCATGGTAGTTGTAAATGGTAACATGGTAGTTATAGTATAATGGCATGAGGATGTTATTCATAAATTTCTGTTTATTAGATTACTAAAAAAATGCCAGCAAACTAGTTCATATTTTAAATAATGTAATAATGCGTTTCGCAGAAGAAGCTAGTTAAATCTAGTTAACAGCTGTCTCACCACTATTATTGCCGGCTAATCCCATAGAAAATTCTGGGAAAATTATATTGCTCCTTCAACTCCATTCGGAAATCAGTGTTATATGCAAAGAAGTGCTATGTAGAAAAAGTTATGGAAATGATTGGAAATTTTGTTGATTTTTTTTGAAGCATTGCTTAGAGTGTAATATGAACAATATGTTCATTTTTATAAACTTTCTAACATCAACCTTTGGCCTTAGGTTCTGTTAAGGCCAAAGATTTTTACAAATTTTGCTAACTCTGAGTTAAGTAACGTGAATTTAATATTTATTATATTATCTTGTGTTGTAGTTATACAAATTCCAACTTCAAAATACAAAACTGGAATGAAAATCCTAATAATACACCTTCACTCTTCAAAACCTGTCATGCTCGAAGTGTTTACGAACATGTTCTTTTAATGAATGTCAAATAACACACTTATTTCTTCATTCATGTTTGGGTATTAACACTTCCTTGGCAGAAGTTATTTATATGAAAACTCAACATGGAGTCATATCTCACTTTTCTGGAACACTATCTGACTCTTCTTTCGAGATTCTCATACTTGAAAATGATTAAAATAGACATTATTATTTATTTGAGTTCATTCGCAGACAGCAGCACTTTTGCCTTTCAAACCAAAAAGTTGTTGAGGACTTGAATTGACATTCTAATGGGATATTAAATGATTTTAGAAGATCGTGGAAGCTTGACCATTCAAAAAAAGATATGTTAGAGAATCTGAGAAAAATGTTAATGTATGCAGAGATGATTCTAGCCAACCTGGATGTATGTATAACAATGGGTAGTATGAACACACTGATACAATCTCGTGGGCTTTTTCGCCTATTGTACTGAATGACATAAAAGTTCACGATATTTTGATTTGCTGATAATTTGTTACCCTCATTTCTGGTGTGAGGTTGCAATCTTTTTTTAACAGAACGATTTCCATAATATAATAAGACTTTCTGTTGCTCTTTTTAATTCTCAAATGTTGATGCGAAATGACATAAACAATTGCCGCTCGATTACCATGCTTTTCCAACTTCACCAAGGCTTTTGAACATCACTCAAATGTTTTGAACAGTTGGATTCTTGATCTTTCTTGATGTTCAACGAGTATCTTTCAAGCAATGTTGATAAGAGGGTCAAGTAGATATCATTTACACTGATTTTTCAAATACTTCATGATAAAATCCATCATGACATTTCGCTTGTCAAGTTGAGTGCAGCTGATAGTTCCTGTGTGTTGCCTGTCTGTCTTAGTAATCAAGGCAATCTTAGTAAACTGGTTCTTTTCGTATGCTTCAATATTCTAATTTTGTCCATATCAATTTCAAATGTAATTGGTCTCCATAAACCAGACAACTCAACACAAATCAAACTCAACCCAACATATTCCAGAGAAATAAGCACTTTGTGAAATTTAAACATTAACTGGGGTTCTGCGAGAAAAATAAATCGCTTAACATTGGATAAAGAGTTAATCTCTCATTAATCAATTATAACCTTATTTAATCTTCTATTAATCTTTTAAATCGAAAAAAAAGTATTGAAGGTAAAATTGTAGAGGATCATTAATGTAATATTGACATAAATCTAAATGAATTTTTTTATTTTAATCTAACAATAAGTATATTTTAAGATTGAAAAGAACTGTTGTTAATTTCCTTCCAATTTTAAACAGATGGTATACGCGTGCTAGTTATGAAAATATTTCGTTATTATTACAAAGATTCAAAGAACATCCGTTTGTATTCACAGTAAGCATGCGGGTTTTGAAAAGAAAACGAAATCAGAAAAAGGACCAAGACATTGGAATGTTTTAAAAAAAAAAAAAACTTGTATCTATAGCTAGATAGGTACAAATTAGCATAGAGTTTGTCCGGCGAGATGGGATATAATGTAGACATTACTTCTTTTATTTCTGTCTCTTTGGGTGCGGCAAAGGTAGCGACCTCTGCACCTGGTGGGCGCGCAGACCACTTGATAGAAACAGCGGTTGGTCTTGGAGTTGTGTTAATAAGACAAACTCGACCCATTGATGACTGACGTTGGGGCCGTATTTTTACTATTTTTAATTATTATACCCGACGTTAATTTGTGTTATAATAATCAAAATTTTCACTTACCAGCTCTTAAGGCATCCATAGGGACTGAAGGATATGGTATAGAATACGGATATCCTTCCTTTCTCAGCGTTTTTGGTTTACGTCGCGGCCTATACTTGTAATCCGGGTGTTCCTTCATATGTAACGCCCTCAATCTCTTCGCTTCGTCGATGAACGGTCTTTTTTCGTCCTCCGTGAGCAGCTTCCATTCAGAACCTGTAAAGAACGACGGACGCCCGTTAACACCGCAATATATAATAATGTGTGCCTTAACGGCTGCACCACGGCCTTCGTTCAACGTTTATATTGTTCCGTTCACAGTCTTAGCTCAAATTCTGTTGAAAAATGGGCATGGCGAATTGCACGTGAACCGCAAACAAAACGTCACCTCGCACCTGGGCGGATCGCTTGACAAAGAAACGTTTGACAGTTCAACATAAAAGAAAGCCTTTTTTCGGACCCTCATCGACCGTGTCCGAAACGTATTGAAAAAAAGTGTATTTATTAGCGCGGTTAACAATATGTAATGAGTTTTTTCTTCGTTTATAAGTTGCACAAGAAATACTATCAATTAAAATTAGGCACCTAATAAAATTAAATATAATGAAATGTTAAATTTGGTTTGAAGAAAAACAACTCGCAAGCAGTAATAAGGATGGTCAGTTTGTGTTGTATTCGGACGACACGAGTTCATTCGCGAAGGGAGTAAAAAAACACAAAAGCCTCCGGGGCGTACAACAAAAAGTTATATTTTCCTATAGATTGAGTTCAAACTGTCCTTTTATTCCCCGGGCAAACGGCTTCGAGCGAGACAAAGCTTTCGCGATGTCTCTTTAGCCGGCTTTTGTTAAGCTCTATTGTTCGTTCGAATAGATACTTCAAGTTACATGGTTTCGCGAAGGGAGATTCTCGCCGATTGCGTTATCTCTAGCCGCAACTCCTCGCCTTTCAAGAGGATTTTGCACATCAGATTAGGCGAGATTTGAGAAAATTTGTTAACAGATTCTGTAAGTAAGTTTTCTTTTGCGATTATTAACAATTTTGATTAAGTATGCAAATAAAGAAAATTGATTCTGTAAATAGCCATATTCTCGTGTTATAGAAATCAACACTTCTTATCATAAAAACAAGTTGATTATCTCAATCAACAAAAAACACCAAAATGATCCCTTCACCTTTGGAGTTTTCTAAACATGACAAGTAAATGGAAATGATAGTCTAAAATTGTAGCCGTTTTAAGACAGCCAACATAATTAGTAGGCAAAACTATGTCAACGCTATTATACTTTTTAAATTCTTATATAACATTGTGTAATTCTATATACTTTAGGGATTGGGAGATATTTTTATGTTAACACATAATTGGAGAACTCGGTCATTTTTAACTGGATAATTGAGTTGCACAGGATATGAAGTACATAATATTACTTTTCATTTTTTTAACGACATCGTATTAGAAAGTTGCATTATCTAACCAGGAAGGTGTCAATGTAATGGAAAGTAATAAAATGAACACTGCAGCAAGATAAGGTTCCGAAGGCAATCTGTCAGTCAAAGAAATTAATAGCGGCAAGGAAAAGTCCAAACGCACAGAAGGAAAAACGAAGAAGTCTCTTGGTCAACTACAAAAAAATTGCGGCACAAACATTTTTCTAAATGGCTTCTACGGAAATCTTCTTGTGTCTGTGGAAAACACACACAAGACTAATTGTAAAGCTAATTCCCTTACTTGAACTACAATGCTTCGATAGACTTAATACATTTTTGCAGGTATTTCTCTGAATTCAAGGTATCGCTAAAGAGTATACAAGAACAGTGCAAAATAATGGATTGCATGAATGACAAAAACGTGTCTTTGAAGAGCAGTGACACGTTTGCAGAAGACCAGATGCAATATTGACATTCTGGTAGAAGCGACATGTAAAGGTTTTAAATGCGGCATGATTATTGATTCGAAAAACTTCCTCGAAATTCGAAGTTGTGGCATCAACGTGAAATTAGTTGTTAGCTAATTTCATTCAAAACACATTGACGTTTGATAAATTTGGAGGTTAAAAGCTAAATAATTTAATTTTATTTGGGTTCAATCTAAAATGCAAAGTTTAATTGTTAAATCAAGTCGAGATTTGAACGAATTTAATAAAAACATTTTTCTTTAATTGTTATAAATCTAAAATGATTTAATTTAATTAAAATTATTAATTTATCTATTAGAAGTGGCGCCATCTCTTAATAATTGTTTGGTGTTAATAATCGCGAAATGTCATTAATGACGTTCTGTGTTACTCCTCTTTAAATTTATGTTTTTCTAAGGAAAAAAAGGTTTAGAACTCGCTAAAACCTGTTTTAATAGATTCTTATAAGTTTATTGAAACAACATGTGATGGTTCAAAATGTGGTATGGTGATTTTTTGTCCAAAAAATTTCCTGGAAATTCAACGTTCATTCAAAACACATTGACGTTTGATGGATTTGGAGGTTAAAAGCTAAATAATTTAATTTTATTTGGGTTCAATCTAAAATGTAAAGTTTAATTGTTAAATCAAGTCGAGATTTGAACGAATTTAATAAAAACATTTTTTTTTTAATTGTTATAAATCTAAAATGATTTAATTTAATTAAAATTATTAATTTTATGTATTAGAAGTGGCGCCATCTCTTAATAATTGTTTGGTGTTAATAATCGCGAGATGTCATTAATGACGTTCTGTGTTACTTCTCTTTAAATTTATGTTTTTCTAAGGAAAAAAGGTTTAGAACTCGCTAAAACCTGTTTTAATAGATTCTTATAAGTTAATTGAAACAACATGTGATGGTTCAAAATGTGGTGTGGTGATTTTTTGTCCAAAAAATTTCCTGGAAATTCAACGTTCATTCAAAACACATTGACGTTTGATGGATTTGGAGGTTAAAAGGTAAATAATTTAATTTTACTTGGGTTCAATCTAAAATGTAAAGTTTAATTGTTAAATCAAGTCGAGATTTGAACGAATTTAATAAAAACATTTATCATTAATTGTTATAAATCCAAAATGATTTTATTTAATTAAAGTTATTAATTTTATCTATTAANTAAATAATTTAATTTTACTTGGGTTCAATCTAAAATGTAAAGTTTAATTGTTAAATCAAGTCGAGATTTGAACGAATTTAATAAAAACATTTATCATTAATTGTTATAAATCCAAAATGATTTTATTTAATTAAAGTTATTAATTTTATCTATTAAAAGTGGCGCCATCTCTTAATAATTGTTTGGTGTTAATAATCGCGAAACGTCATTAATGACGTTCTGTGTTACTCCTCTTTAAATTTATGTTTTTCTAAGAAAAAAAAGGTTTGAACTCGCTAAAACCGGTTTTAATACATTCTTATAAGTTAATTGAAACAACATGTGATGGTTCAAAATGTGGTGTGGTGGTTGTTGGTCCAAAAAACTTTCTCGAAATTCGACGTTGTGGCATCAACGTGAAATTAGTCGTTAGCTAATTTCATTCTAAATACATTGACGTTTGATGGATTTGGAGGTTAAAAGGTAAATAATTTAATGTTATTTGGGTTCAGTCTAAAATGCAAAGTTTAATTGTTATGAATCAAAAATTATTTTATTTCGTTTAGATTATTAATTATATGGAGATGATTGAAAATGAAAATTGAGCTAAAATTCCGTAAAACGGTAAATCAATAGGTTCGAATTATGTATCTGGAGATAATATAACAAGAGATTGCAGCTGAAATTCAGAACACACCAGTTATTGTAGCTGATGATTTCGAAAAGAAAATCTCTTTTCAAGATTGTCAATAAGATTACGTATTGTAACAATAACAACCAACCCATGGAATTGTTTTGTACCGAATGTCTTGATGGATAACTCATCAACTTGTTCAAAAACACACGACAATATTGGGACTCCTATACAAGCTTTCAAGAAATTCTCGATGTCCTGGTCTCAATGAGTTGATGGTTTTTAAATTAATCTTTGTGCCATGAAGAAATATATTAGCAAAGACTTGCAAAAAAATTGAAGTCTGACAAAATTATGTAACATAAAGTTGAGCAAAATTAGGCAAAAAAAGAATCCATATTGTATTTCTTTGCCAACAAATTGCAACGGACAAAGGGGATATGCTAAAAAAGTTAATTGACAGAAAGACCAAAAAATTGCAACTATTTGACCTTGAAGACATCTAAAATTGATGTTATTCACCACAAAGAAAATTCTGCTTTTCGTTGGATAAGGTGTAGAAGTGTATGTAAGTATGAAGAGATTATTGACACATTACTTCTTATCATATAAGTAAGATCAGGCATATTACATAGCACTCAGTTATATTAATCCTTTCAAATTGTTTAAAATTTTGCCTACTCTCCAGGATAATAACTTATATTTTCTTGTTCGAGTATTTGAGTTTTTACAAAATCGCTGTATTTTGTGCATGATGTTGATTTAAGACATCAGTGAGATAATCCGTGGTTTAAATGAGTTGAGTTATTAAAAAAATAAGTCTTCATTAAAGCCGGATGATATGAAAAAAAATTAATTAATTTTAAATAATATTATATTTCAACAGATTTGTTACACAATAAAATTTATCGTCTTAATTATGATTGCATATCCCTTTAAAAATGTCTTAACTTAAAATTTATACATGACTTCTATAAAAGGGGAAGAAATGAGGTCAAGATTTTAAAGTTAATCTTCCCGGATGCGGGATTTAATTGTGCTTATTTACACGCGATATCTGACCAAGAAATGTAATAACACAAGGATATAAACTGTCGCGTCGTTTAATAAATTGTTATTGCGATATTCACCGCGACTTGCGACTGGGTCCAGTGCCGCAAGTTTCGATCGGTTAATACATATAAATAACGTGCTAATTTATTAATTAATAAATCACGTTTTAATGCTCTTATCCGAGTTACGTTTTGAAGATATTAATTTAAATGCCTTCTCTCGCAATTTATGCGGAGCCCCCGATCGCATTATAACAATAAATTAGTTTGACAGCGTGTGGATTACAGCAGTAGCGACGCTAACTAGGTGGACAGAGTCGTATGTGTAACGTATCAATTAATTTGCGGTTCATTAGCGCACGGTTGAGAGAAGTTGCTTCGGAATTATGTTTTACAAACTGATTTGCAGATTCACAAGCGAACGGCAACGGGTCTTTGTTTTATTTCAAACTATAAATTCTAATAAATTCAAAGCATT